CTGCACTCAGTGGCACAGTGAGCACCAACCCCTGGGCCTGGGGGGATTTCAGATGAAGAGAGGATAATTTAGGATGGAAGAGGGTTAAACAGCCCTGGCAGGGCTTCAGGTTTGGATGCTGAGCATCCCACTGGGAGTCAGGTGGTGCTGAGAGGTCTCCAAGGCCTTGTGTTGGCTACAAAACTGCTGGAGCTTAATTCAGGCTCATCCCTCACCCTAAAACCCTTCGGCATCACCCTAAAATCCCTCTGGATATGTTTTTCCACAGCTGGTGTCCCATGTGCCAGGATCACAGTGAGCAGACACTAAACACAGGCAGAGGTGAGTATTCCTGAAATCTCCTGGAAACAATAGACCCATTGATGGGTCCTGGCTGATAAAGCCCTCGGGAAACACCCAATATTCTTTAAGGCACCAGCAGGATTTGTCTCAATAACAAAAACTTAAAACCAAAAGGCTTCAACTTCCCAAACATCCATAAGAAAACCTGCTTTATTTATGATTTTTATAACAAATAAACCCACTTTCCTTGCAATGAACATCTGGGCGAATCACTGCTCCACAGAGCAAGGCTTCGCAGAGACAACTGTTTTGGAGGTGACTGTGCCCTCCTGCTTTGCCAATCCTGCTGCCCATCACTGGGATGGGCTTGGGAGCTGCCCGGCTCCAGACCGGGAAGTGGCTGGTTCCTTGCAGGAATCCTCAGCATTCCTGCCAGCTCTGAGAATGCAATGCCATTTTCAGGCCTTTTTTGGCCAGGGGTAGCCTTGGTGCAGGTCCCCTGAGCTCCAATTCCCCTGGAATTTTTAAAAATAACAGCAAAATATTCCTGAGCTCATGCCAGTGTGGGGCTATTTCTGGAAGGAGAGAGTTGCTGGGCAGTGCCAGGGAGATGTAGGGGCACCTGTGCCCTCACCAGGGTCCCCCCACAGCATCTTCCTCTGGGCAGAGGCATCTTGAGCATCCCAGTGCTTAAAGCTCATCCCGTGCTGGATCCAACCCTCTCCCAGGATTGCCACGAGAATCCCATTCCCGAAATAGCCCCCTTATCTGAGAATTACTTACATAAATATATAAATTTTGGGATCTGTCGAAAGGGTGCTGTTGATGGGAGCCAGATCCAGAGTTTGCCTTGGAAAACAAACAAATCCAAACTCAAAGGGAGCATGAGGAGGGAAAGCTGTGCCAAAGAGCCGCGGAAATGTTCCATGTCACATTATCCAGGATTAACGTTCCAGATCGTCTGCGAGAATGGAAAGGTTTTATCCTAAAGATTCAATTAAGGTTCCTCAGAGCCTGATCCATCCTGGGCGGGACTGGGGGGATCCATAAAACTGCACAGCAGTAAGAGGCAAGAGGATCCCCAGAGATGAGGGATTTAGGGTCATAATTCCTGAGGGAGAGGTAAAGCATTTCCATGGGTATCCCATCTTGAGTGCATCACCCCCAGCCTGGCATCAGCTCAGCTGTTGAGGAGCTTCTGCTCATGGAAAACAGTGAATTAATGGGATTTAGGGGGAAGAGGAAAGAGGTTGGATGTAATCAGACCCAATTAGTGGATGGGTCAATAAGAGGAGAGGTCGTGGGATCATTGGTGGTCCCCAAGTCCCATTGGTGGATCAGATCCCAGGTGCTCCTTGTTTGGAGGATCCCACTTGCTCATCCCCCATTACTGCTCCTGGAACCTTCCACCAATAAGGGTTTAAATTAGTAATTTATCAATTACATGTAAGGTTTGGCAACTTAAAATCTGTCCTCTTGTTTAATTAATAGGGCAGCTTTATATTTGGCAAATTAGGGAGACTCTCAATGAGCTAATTTGTTAATTAAGGGAAGCCTGGAGGCTCTTCCTTCATTAGACTTTGGCAAATCCTTTAATCCAAAGTGTAGCTCCTCCTTTAGGACTCCCAGGCTTAGACCAGGGAATGGCCCTGGCAGCGACACTTGCCATGGGAGAACTCCTGGAATGGCCCTGGTTTCCTGGGATTTATGGCAGCAGCTTATTTCCCTTCCCCTTCCTCTTCCTTTGGGAGGATCTCTGTTGAGGAAGAGCGTGAGATCCCACAGCCACGGCTGCTGCTGCCAAACAAAGCCCAAAGCTGCCTCCAGGAAGGAAAGAGAGAAATACATTTATAAAAAAAGAAGGGAAGAAAATCTTCTGGCCCAGTTCAGAGGGAAATTTCACTTCATTATTTAGGACAGAGCTCCCTGTGAGCGGAGTTAATGAGATAATTAACGTTAATTGGGGGTGATGGTCAGGGTGTCTGTGCTGTGGAGAATGGGGGAGAAATCAGTGGCGCTGCTGCCGGAGGGTAGAGGATCCAGAGCTCATCCCAACAGATCCAAGTATCTCATGTGCCCCCTCATGCCAGGCAGTGCCCACCCTGCCCATGGCCAAAGCCACTGACTCCCAGGGCAAATAATCCTCCAGGTATATCCAGGCTCACTGGATCAGCCCTTTCCCCCATCCCAGGTTGTAACAGGCACAGCCACTCCCAGCAGCCCCCTCCCACTTGGCTTCCAGTACAAACCAGTAGGTGCCAAGGCTGGGTGGGCTCCACTGACCTGCTCCAAATGATGCCACCAAGAAGGATCCCCAAAAAAACATTAGAACCAACCCCAGGGAGAGCAGGACCAGTAACACCAGTAAGAGCAGTACTGACCCGTGTGGGCAATCACACCACGTGCCTCGGGATAAATACCCCGTTATGGATGCAGTGCTGCAAATCCCGCTCCACGTTAAAAAGCCAGGATAGTGATTTCCCAGGGTTGTAAGATGGACCATATCCCTCCAAACCAGATTATCCCAGACCCGATGGAGCAGCTCACTCCCTATTTTTAGCCATTGGTGCCTCTGCACTGGCCAGCAGGTTATCACATAAACATGGGAAAGCAGCCTGCCAGGAGAGGACCCAGAGACTCCCTTATCCTTGGTTTTAATGTATTTATTTTCAGCCTCTAAAAAGAAACACCAGGTTTGCTTTATACTGCACAAGTTTGCCAAGTTTCCAGCTTTCACTGGAACTTTTCCACTGTGACAGGTCTGGGACACACAGGGAGCAAGCAGAGAGGGCAGAGATGGCTGAAAACAGCAATAAAAATATCACATTGAATGGCAAATGCCTGATTTATTTTCCACATATTTGGCCAAAAAAATAAGGTTGCTGTTGAAGCTGCCTGGATTTGGGTGCCTTTTGCAAGAGGACATGGATGGTTTGTGCTCCAGTGCTCCAGCACTGGCTTCGGAGCGTTGGCCACAAGCTGGAGCTCAGGCTGGGTAAAAGCACACTTGTATTTGGAGCTATTTGGATTAATCATGGATTAATTGAGATTGGAAGGGGCCTTGGAGATCCTCAGGTCCGAGCAGACAGCTCAAGACCTTCTCCAAGTGAGTCTGAGCATCCCAAGGATGGAGATCCCACCACTGCTCTCACCCCTGACCTGGGGTGACTCCTCCACTGCAAACGGGTTTTTCCTTATTCCCCGTGGAACATTTCCTCCTGCCATCTTCCTTTTGCCTGTCACTCTGTGCCTCCAAGGACAGTCTGGCTTCATCTTCCCTACACCCATTTCCAGGGAATGATAGCATCTTCAGGTGGGAGATTTATTGCTGCGCTGATGGAGCAGGGCTCCACAGCACCCTGCTCTGCTCCCAGGCCATCACAGGCTGCCAAAGCCAGGGAATTCTCTCCTTCATCCCAAAGGATCCATGGGAGCTCCAAACTCAGCACCTCTGTCCCTCCATGAGCTCCTCAAATCCAAGGAGTCACCAAAAAACTGCTCCCTGATCTCCTTCAGTGACAGAATCCCGTGTGTTTTTGGATAAAGTGCACTCAGCTATTTTCCCACCTCTATTTCCTCCCACTCCAGCCTCAGATCAATAAATTAATTCCAAATCATCTAATGAGCCCTCAGCCTGTAATTTGTTTTTCATAAGTGTAAATCCAATTCCTTTCCAAGGCTGTGCCTTTGGGACCCTCACAAATTAGGGAGCTGAGACACTTCGCTGGCATTACTTAGGCAGAGAACATTGGTCTGAAAATAATAATAATAATAATCACACCAAGCTCTTTCTAAAGATGGTTTTCAGGGCCCCAAAACATGTTTCATTTTCTTTGTTCCTCCACTTTCCCTATTTCCAGCGGTGCCTGGGGGATCATCCCGAGCAATTCACTCCAGTCTTTAATAGCCACTATAAAATGAGGCTTGGAGAAGCCTTAAGCTGATGTGGCTTTTATTGTGATCCAGAATAATTCTTATCAGGGGAACATCTCCTGCTTGAGCTGTCCTGGGCCTGTAAAACACACACGGACTTCAAGCCAGGGCCTTTAATTCCCGCTCGAGTCGTGGCGGCTTCACTTTGGTTTGGAGAGCAAAGCAGACTCTGGGAAACATAAAGAGCCAATTCCAGGCTATTTTAAGCTTCAAAACAAGAAATACCACAACTTCTCCAATGTCTCCACAAGCCAAGGGTTGCTCAAACTCAGGGCTTTGTCAGGAAAATCAGAACAGGAGAGGGAAAGGGGCAGGAGTGTGGCACAGTTGGAGGCCACAGTTAGATGGGATATTGGTAAGAAATTCTTCCCTGTGAGGGTGGTGAGGCCCTGGCACAGGTTGCCCAGAGAAGCTGTGGCTGCCCCATCCCTGGAAGTGTTCAAGGCCAGGCTGGGGTTTGGAGCAACTTGGGATAGTGGAAGGTGTCCCTGCCCATGGGAGTGGAAGGGGATGATCTTTAAGGTCCCTTCCAACCCAAACCATTCGATGATTCTGAGATTCAGGGAGGGCTGGGGGAGCTCCCTAACAGCCTGGCGTTCTGAGCTCTGGTGTTAAAGCATTTACAAAAGATCACAAAGATCTGTTCATCCCGGTGAAATAGAGGGAAAACAGACTTTCAGGAATCAAAGGCCAATGCACGCAGCAGATGTGTCAGCACTATAATGAAAAGCAAGGCTTTCAGAACCCTGATTTCAGCTTTGCACAAATTAGACAATAAAATTAACTCAGTTTCATGCCATCTTTACCAGCTGTCAGCTCGGGAGTCACCAGAGACTAAATGCAATAACAAGAAATTGAACACAGGGAAGTTTGGGCTCTGCAGAAGCTGGCTGGGAGCAGGCTCATGCTCTGGGAAGTCAAGCTGCCCAAGGCTGATGGAACACCAAACTCTGATGGCAGAGGAGTCTCAGGGAAACACCTGCAAATAAAATAACCCTGAAAGATGAGGCTCTGACAGTCCCAACATTCAAAAGTTCCCATGGGAGCTGCTGTTTGCTGTCACTAATTTGGTAGCTGGACTAATGAGCCGGGTGATCACCAGGCACCTCCCCACCACCTCCATCCTCAGGCTTTCCCTTCTTTGGTAGCCCCTGGACATATCAGTGGAAGTCCAGGAATGCAGAACCAGGAAGCAGGACCTGATCTCACCCAGGTGCCACCGCGCTGGGCTGGGCTTTGGGCTCACCTGGCAAGAGCTGATCTTATCCACAAACAGCTGGAATTGCAGCCCCTGGAGATGAGCACCAGGCACAGAAGGAAGTCCAAGGAGGGAGGGAAGACCTGGAACTTGGCCTGGAAGGCTGCAGGGGTGAGATCCGAGAGCTAGAAAACAGGGAATGAGTTGGCTACGAGGGAAGAAGCAACAGTGAAAGGTTTCCTCACTGCAGGTTTGGATGGATAACCTGAGCTGAGGGAGGAGGAACCAGCCTGTGCGTGTGTGTTCCAGCTGGGCTGGATTGATTTCCACAGCTCTGTGTTGCATTCCTGGGAAAAGGCTGCACCCACATCCCACAGGATTCCCACGAGGCCTGGACAGACTTGGCACAGGAGCATCAACACATAGCACTTGGCTTCTCCCATCCCTTCACCTAGCCCGAACAGGAACCTGCTGCAGCCCATTCCAGAATCATTCCTTGTGGGAAGAGGCAGCCAGAGGCTCAGGGAGGGACAAGGAGCCCGGCACCTGCACAGGGAGAGCACACGGAGCTCCCTCACAGTGCTCACCTCAGCAGCACAGAGGGATCCACACACAGCTCCTGCTCCAACTCAGCCTCTGCCTGGTGAAGCCACAAAGCCCAGCTGAGAGATTTAACATTATATTTCCAAAGTAATGAAATCCAGGGAAATATTTCACAGCTCACAGTTTTGAGGAGCACTGGAAGCACCTGATAAAGGTGGAGTTATGCTGCTGGTGACAAACAGGGGCTGTTCCCTGCTGGCAGGGGGAGAAGGAGCCTGGGTTTTAATTTGGAGGAATTCCAGAGGATCCATTTTATCTCTCAGCAGGCAGGAAAATTAGCAGAGCACCACAGAAAGCTGGGAACGACACATGCTCTATCTTTGTAATTCCAAGGCAGTGCCTGAGCTCTGCTAGAACAGCAGAGGTTTGCAAATCCTTTTCTTCCACTTGCTTTACAAATCTCTGTTTTCCAACTTTCCAAGTGCAGGTGCTGAAGGAAGAGTTGTGCAGAGCCTTTGAGATCAGATCTCCTCACTGTTACCAACCACAGAGGTGCTTTATGACTGCTAAAGGATCGTCCACCTGCTTTGGTTTGGATTCTTAACAATCAGCACATAGAAAGAGCCATTTGAATATCCAAGGCTCTGGGAACCTTTGGAAAATTAGATCCATAGAAAAGCAAAACTAAAGTGGCAGGTGGTTCCCAAGGTCTCTGCTCCAGACTTCCTGTTTCTCTTCCTGGGATTTAGGAGCTTAATTGAAGGCTGCATTCAGGATTATTCCCGTTACAAAATCCTGGCTAAAGTGTTGGGAATTAGCTCGGGATCAGGACATTCTGGCCTCCAGCAGCATCCCCAGCACCTCTGCCAGGGCACTGGTGTGTACCCAGCATCCCTGAGCTGCAGTTGCCATGGTGACCGAGCATTGTCCCCTCTCCTGGCAGGAAAAATATCCCTTTCCTTTAAGGAAGAATGTCCTTCCATATCCCTCCACAGCACAGGGCTGACCCAGACCACTCTCAGGTGGCTCTCTCCAGGCCTCATCCTACACCCAGGACATCCTGGTCTCCCAGGCCAAGCCAGGCAGGACAGGGACTGCTGCCCATGAGGAATTTGCTCCAGCTGGACACCGCTGGATCCATTCCCAGCAGCCAAAAACCTCCTGCAGCTGAACATCACCAAGGAAAAAAAAACACAGGCAAGAGTAACAAGGATCCAGTCATTCCCAGATTTAAACAGGGTGGGGTTTAAAGTGAAATCCAAGGAGGGAAGAGCTTGAGCTTGTCCAAGACTATCAGGTGGCCTTGGAGCCACCACTGTTTCCACTCCAGGACGGTCAGTGGCATCAGTGCCACCACGGGATCAGCAAGAAGTGCCACCTCTGAGTGTGTTTCCCTGCCCTCCCAAATCTCCACGGGACCCCCGCTGAGCTCTGACAGCTTCCAGGACTAAAGCAGGGGGCGAGCTGAGAAGCTTACAAGGGAAAATAGCTCCTTTTGTAATCTGCTCCCACAGCACACCCACCCTCAGCCTGTTTTAGCCTCCTCGTCCTACATTCCAGCCCTGGAGACGGGAAGTGTGAGGAGTTGTGACCGTTAAATGATGTCTCACATGAAGGGGTCTCCCAAAAGGGTGGCTGCTGCAAGAGAGGTCTCCACCCTTCTCTGCCAGGCTGTCCTGATCCCACTGCTCCTCTGGCACCTGGAAAAGATCATAGAATAATGGAATCACAGGATGTTTGGATTGAAAGGGACCTTAAATGTCACCTCATTCCATGGGCTGGGACACCTTCCACTATCCCAGGTTGCTCCGAGCCCCATCCAGCCTGGCCTTGGAGAGTTCCAGGGATGGAGCAGCCACAGCTTCTCTGGACAACCTGTGCCAGGGCCTCACCACCCTCACAGGGAGGAATTTCTTCCCAATATCCCATCTAAACCTCCTCTTTTTCAGTTTGAATCCATTCCCCTTGCCCTATCACAAGCAGGGGAGACCAGGAGGTTGTTTCCCTCTGGGTGGCCATCAGAAACCCAGGTGGCTCATCCTTGTGTGGGATTCTAAGCAGGTTTCCCTGCTCTTCAATGTGTCAGAGATCAAGGAATCTCAGTGCAGGGGGGTGGACACTGGGAGCCTACATGGCCACTAAATCCCTCTTAACAAACATAACTTTTCATTTCATTTTTAGCAAACAAACATCATATTTCATTTTTAGCTGATTTTCCCCCTCTTCACTCAGCCAGAGGAGCAGGGAGGTAAAAGCAGGAGATAACTGAGCATCTTCCCCTTGGGAGCCCTCATTATCCCAGGAGGCCTCCACTGCCTCAGGGAATCAATTAAACAGCCTGGAGCTGGGATACCCGGCACTTCACAGGATCAAAACCCAGAGAGACACCATGAGGCAATTTCCCTCCTGTCACTGACATGCAAATCATTCCTGCAGCAGCTCCTGGGTTTAATATATCTCCAGATTGCCTGGCATGGAGTCCCATTAGCCGGGTCTACGTGGCACTTAGTCCAAAATGACTCTGGGAGAGTCAGCATTTCCACCTCAGCCTCAAGGACAGGCAGGAGATGAGTGTGCAGCCACTTGGCTCATCCCTCTCTCAGGTTCCCTCTGAGGGCAGGACTCCCACAGAGTTTGGGATTCTGAGTAAAACAGCTGAGAAATCCATAGTGAGGGACTGAGATGCCCGAGAAACGTCCTCATCAACCCTGGGAACATCCACAACTGTGCCTTTCTCCAGCCCTCAACTTCCACATGGATGAGGAAGGACAGCCAGCAAGGGCAGGATGTACCACGAGAAACCGTGCTCTCTCCCACAAAACATGCTGGTTTTTTCCAAGATTTTCTAGGTTTGCTCCCCATTCCCTGTGACTGAAAACTCATCACTAACTTAGATATTACAAATAAATTCTCCCCTGTGATGGTGGGGAGGCCCTGGCACAGGGTGCCCAGAGAAGCTGTGGTTGCCCCATCCCTGGAAGTGTCCAAGGCCAGGCCGGATGGGGCTTGGAGCAACCTGGGATAGTAGAAGGTTTCCTTGCCCATGGCAGGGGTGGGATGAGATGAGCTTTAAGGTCCCCTCCAACCCAAACCATTCTGTGATTCTATGAAATATGAGAAGAGGGAGGAATTCCAAGCACTGCCAGTTCCACCTCTGTCCCTGCCTGGGGACTCTTTGCTCCCTTTAGAGTGTCCCACTGCCTTCCAGACCCTCACACCAGCAGCCACACATGGCTGACTGGAAAACCACTCTGACCACAAATGCAATAATGAAAGAGCTTTTCTCCCACACAGATGGGACTCCTTGTTCCCTTTTTCCCACTAAATCGCTTTCCTCATTATACCCAGACCCTGCAGAGTGGCTTTGCTGGGGCCCTGCTGGTGCGATGTGAGAGCAGCTCTGAACCAGCCCAGCACTGCTCTGAACGTCTTCCTTTTGTCCATTTATTCCCAGTGCCACAAACCAATCTGTCTGAGAAGCTGGTTCCTCATTATTCCTGAGGAGATCCAACAAAGCCCTGTATTCCTCACCCTCCAGGAGCTTTGTTTGGAGCTCTCTGTTCCCTCTCTTTGTGTTTGCAGATGAGCTGTAAGTGGCTCCCGTAGCCTTGAAGCCCCTCGTTTGCAGTCAGGAGCAACAACCATCACGGCTCAATCCAGCTCCTGACTTTGGCTTATCCTTCCCTTTTCTCTTTAATTAAAAATCCCTCTGGCCTTGCTCTCAGATTTTGGGATGTGGTTTCCCTTTGCCTCACCAACGTCACAGCCAGGAATGTCAAATCTGTTTTTCACAACCTTGCTGTGACCTGGCTGAGCTTTTCCCAGGCAGTTCATCCCTTCCTTGTCCATCTGTTCATCCACTAAAATCCCACATTTAAATCCAGTTGCTTCTCCTGATGACAAGACCCTCCTACAGGCCAGGAGCCTTTCCCAAGGGATGTTCCATGGTCTCAGTTTAACCCAACAGCTCAAGGGCAAGACACTTTCCAAATGCAGGAAATAAAAGGAATGAAATCTAGGCGAGGGGAGACAAAAAAAGACCCCCAGCATGGAAAAATTCCCAGGGATGCTGGGCCTGCAGCTCTCCACCTTCAGAGCCTCAGCTGAACCGGAGGCTGGAAAGGGAGAAATATCCTCCCTTTTGCAAAAAATTATTTTTTCCCCTGTAACATGTGGCCCAGGAAGCCCAACAGCCACGGCACAGGACAAGCTTTGGGAAGCACGAGCTCCGTGTCTGCTGTTCCATCTCGTCAGCACCAGATCCCAGGAACCTCCTGAGCACAGAAGGGCGATTTTTATCCCAGTACAAACAGTTCCAGGAGGCAGCCAGAGCCTTACTCAACCTTCAAATATGTTTTCCGTGATCGGTGCCTCTAAAGGCAGAAGGTGGAAAGGTCCTGGAGAGGCTGCATCCCGCTGGGATGTTTCCATGGAGCAGGAGATGAGTCAGTGCCATCTGCCGGCTGCTCCAAAATCCACCGGATTCGGCGTCAGATATTGGAGATAAAACCCGGGCTCTTACACACTTTCTCCCATGGTAACACTTCCAGCATGCCTCTGGAATGCTGCTTCCAATGCAAATTCCCCTTGGAGGTTCAGGCTCCAGATGGAATCCCTTTGGTGCATCCATGTGACCCAGTGGGACAATCCAGGCTGCAGATCCAGCGTTTCACAGCCCTTCTCCTTCCTGCCATTGGGATCTCCCTTCCCTGTCCCTGATAAAATCAAAAATAACTCTGGTGTAGGATGTGCTGGCTATGGAATCCCTTGAGCTGGCCTAGATCCATGCTAAGAAAAGCTGTGGAAATGCCAAGGATTCACAGTGCCATCGGCATTCCCAAGGGATTGGCTTCTACCTCAGCCTGGACCATTCCAAGGGTACCAAAGAGGCATCAAAGCTGGGATGAGACACCAGGCACTCCTGGATGTCCCTGTTGTTCCCTTCTGTTGGATCAGATTTAATTGGGGAACAGATTCTAAGTGTGTTTCTCCCCCTTTTTGACAGGAAAACACATCAACAGCTCTGTAATTATTCCCTAATTGTATTTAGGTGCCTGAGGAAAACACACGACGCTTCCTCTGGGAGCAAAGAGAGATTTGCTCATCCTTGAAATGCTGATTATCCCCAAAGTTCCCTCCCAGCACTTCCAGGCTCTGGCAGGCTCAGAATGGCTGGAATTGGCAGGAACTCAGTGCTGCAGGGATGGCCCTGGGCTCCATTTGCTGTGGAGATCTCAGAGCTGAGGTGCTGTCAGGCTGTGTTTGGGATGTTGGTTGAGCCGAGTCCATCCAGCTGCTTTTGTCAGTCCCAGTAAAATCAGTGAACATCCGAGAGAGCCCCAGCTCCCAGAGAGGGATCCTGCCTTTCCCACTGAAACTGAGCATGGAAAGGAAGATTTCTCTGGAAGACTCCATGTGCAGAGGAAGCAGAATGGAGTAAGGGCAGCACATGGATCAGGATGCTGTGCATGGGCAGCAGCCATGCTTTGGGACAGCATTCCCACCTCTGGGCTCTTACCTGAGCACAGGCAGAGTGTTCCTTGATTATTTGGACTCAAAGGTAGCTTGTCCTCATCGTTGGAAGTGCACCAGGCAAAGAGACCACGGAAACGACGTGCTCTGAAAGGTTTACTTTCTTGGAATATCCTGAGTTGGAAGGGACCCACAGGGATCATCCAGTCCAACTCCCGGCCCTGCCCAGGACACCACAACAGTCCCACCCTGTCCCTGAGAAGCTGCCAGACCCTGATGAGTCTCCCCTCAGCCTCCTCTGAAATACAGTTCAAATTGCCCCAATTTATTTCTGACAAACCAGGTTATTTTTCCCTATTGGTGATGATTTGCTGTGTGAGCATCTGGTAGAAAACTGCCTTATGACTTTGCTAGATGCCGAAATCTGGGGGAGTTAGCTGCAATTCCTTAAAATATTCTGTTTTCCTTCAGCTTTTGTCCAATCTCTCCCCATTCCTGGTCTCCAGTCTCTCCCTATTCATGGTCTCCCGTGGGTGCGGAGCACCAAGTTACGGTGCTACTGACACTCTTAAGGCCAGAATTAAGGAGTATTTTTCCAGAAGGGCCTGGAATGGGTGACAACAACTCTGTATCCAGCAGAAAAAAAGGCGTTTTTCCATGGAAACAAACATGGGAACAATCAGCTCTCCCCACGCGCCCGTCGCGTAGCAACGCGGACGCCTTGCCCTTATATGGCGAAAGTGCCCGCCCTCTCCCCAGTCTTCCTTTTTATTGGCTGCTCTGCACATGATTGACGTGCACTCTCACCAGTCACCGCCCTCCACGAGCCTCTCCCGCGCCCGGGGTGCGGCACCACCCGGAAGACGCTGCAGGAAGGGGAGGGGAGGAGCGTCCGCTGCGAGAGCCAATGGGAAGGGAGCAAGGGGGCTGCTCAGCCAATGGGAGGGCGCGGGGGCGGTGCTTCTGTGGGCGGGGCCGCTGTAGCCGGGACCGGGCGCGGCGGGGGCGGTGGAGGTGACGGGGGGACAAGGGGGATAGGGGGGGACCCCGAGCAGGGGAGGGACGGGAACGGGGCAGGACCAGGGTCCCGGGAAGGGAGGACCCGCGGGGAATGTGAAGGGATCCGGCCGGGGTAGCAGCGGGTGCCCCGGGCAGGGAGGACTCGCGGGATCCCGGACAGGAGAGGGCTGAAGTGCCGGGTGGGACTGGGGGTCCTGGGCTTAGGGGAACCGGGGATGAGGGGGCTTAGGATGGGGAGGGAGCCCCGGGGGTGGGAGCGGTGCTGGAGGGGAACTGGGGGATGGGGGGACCTGGGGGTCTGCGGAGGGAGAGCCTTGGAGCCTCTGGCCTGGGGGGCCGGGGGACAGGGGGGAAGCTCCTTGATCCCTGCAGAGCCCCGAGCCCACCCTGCTCCCGGGCATCCCTGTCTCCTCGTGCTGCTGCTGTCACAGTAACGCACGGAGGATTCCACATGGATTCGCGTTCCGCTGGGAACTGCCCTGATGTGCCGTGGGATGGCAGGGAGAGGGATGGGGATTCCTGGGACAACCAACCCCCCCATAGCTGTCACAAGCCCGAGCACGTGTGCTCACATCAACCCTTCCCGGTGACACGGAGCGCTGGCTGAAGCTGTGTGTGTTCCCAGGTGGGAGCGGTGGGAAGGGAGATGCTCCCGGTGGCCGTGCTGGAGGCAGGATGAACCTCGTGGCGATGGCGACGGACCCGGAGCTGCAGTGGGTGACCCTGTGGGTGCGGGTGCGCTGGGCGGCCGTGCTCGTGCTGCTCCTCAGCTCCCTGGTGATGCTGCTGCTCCCCCTCGCTGCCGTGGAGAACCAGTGCCACGCCCTGCTCAGGGGGATCTCCTTCCTGAGGAGCAAACTGGGCCCCTCGGGAATGCCCAGGATCACGGGACAGAGCACAGAGCTGAGTGTCACCTCCCAGGGGCTGGAGCTGCTGGTGCTTAAGGGAAAAGCCTCCCCAGGTAAGGGGGTCCTGGGGGGTGCAGGGGGGACAGAGGAGCTCCTTAGTACAAGGGAGACAAGGAGCTGCTGGAGTGTCCAGGGGAGGCCAAAGCGATGAGGGGTTTGGAGCATCTCTGTGGTGAGGAGAGACTGGGGAGCTGGGCCTGGTTAGTCTGGAGAAGAGAGGACTGAGAGGAGATCCCATCAATCCATACAAATATCTCCAAAGGGTGTCAGAGTATGGTGCCCGACTCTATTCTGTGCTGCTAGTGACAGGATGAGGAGCAATGGCCATAAACTAAAACACAAGTTCCACCTCAACATGAGGAAGAACTCCTTTCCATGGAGGGTGGCAGAGCCCTGGAACAGCTGTCCAGGGAGGGTGTGAAGTCTCCCTCTCTGGAGACATTCCAAACCCACCTGGACACATCCCTGTGTCACCTGCTCCAGGTGACCCTGCCTGGCCTGGGGGATTGGACTGGATGATCTCCAGAGGTCCCTTCCCACCCCAGCTGTTCTGTGAGTTGTTGTATAAAACAATCCCAACCTGGAGATCTCATCACCTACCTGGTCTTCTCCTGGAGCACATGATGGTAAGGAGCTCTCACTGCCACCTGCAGTGAACACCAGCTGGAAATGCCCCCGAGGTGGAGCAGGCCCTCAGCAGCTCCATGACTGCATTCCAGGGCTCTGTGCCAGCGTTCCCTCCTCGCCACTCTGTCTCTCTGAGGTTTTTCCTCATGTTTTCAGTACTAGTAAGTCCTGTGGAGGTAACCAGAACACAGAGAGGTGTTTTAATACACAGGAATCTGGGATATACAGTGTTAATCCTGAAATCCTGGCTGGCATGAAACAGCCTTCCAGGCAACAGGCTGCGGACATGGCCTTTATCAGCCAGGATGTTAATTTGGAAAACACGCAAAGGAATTATGATTCCAGCACTTTATCTTTGTTTATATTAAAGCTCTTACTGCTGGGAAAACGTTAGCTCAGTGAACAAACAGGAGTGCTGGTAGCAGCCAACACAACAATGTGTTAGAATTTCACCTAAAATAATGCCAAGAGGAATGTATTTGACACATTGTGTGTCCCCACATGAAGCAGTTTGGTGGCCAAAGTGAGTTTGGCTGGGATGGCTACACACCTTTGGCCACCTTGAGCCAGCTGCTCACAGGTCCTGCCTCACCACACTTCCTGCCAGGAATGGCTCTGCTACCTTGTGCTCGGCCTGGAAACGTGGCATAAACCTCTGTGATTGTAGCCTAGCAAAGACTGGAACACAAGTTCTGTTCCAGTTCTTAGAGGCTGGTTTTGTTTAACTTTTATATCAGTGAAGAGTGATGGTCATAGAATCATGGAGTATCCTGAGTTGGAAGGGACCCACAAGGATCATGGAGACCAGATCTCTAGAAGTTTTCAGTCCAGATCAGTTTTCAGTCACACCCACCACCCTGTTCTCTAACCATTTTTGTTGTGTTCCAGAAGTGAAGTTGGAAGCCAGGGCAGCTCTGAACCAAGCCCTGGAGATGAAGCGCCAGGGGAAGCGGGAGAAGGCCCACAAGCTCTTCCTGTATGCCCTCAAAATGGACCCGGATTACGTGGACGCCCTGAACGAGTTTGGGATCTTTTCCGAAGAGGAGAAAGACATCCTCCAGGCCGACTACCTGTACTCCAAGGCACTGACCATCTCCCCCCACAACGAGAAGGCCCTGAGCAACCGGGGCCGGACGCTGCCACTGGTGGAGGAGATCGACCAGAGGTACTTCAGCATCATCGACAGCAAGGTGAAGAAGGTGATGGCCATCCCCAAGGGCAACTCCGCCCTGCGCCGCGTCATGGAGGAGTCCTACTACCACCACATCTACCACACGGTGGCCATCGAGGGGAACACGCTGACACTCTCCGAGATCCGGCACATCATCGAGACCAGGTACGCAGTGCCGGGGAAGAGCCTGGTGGAGCAGAACGAGGTGATCGGGATGCACGCGGCCCTCAAGTACGTCAACACCACGCTGGTGTCGCGGATCGGCTCCGTCACCATCGCCGACATCCTGGAGATCCACCGGCGCGTGCTGGGCTACGCCGACCCCGTGGAGGCCGGGCGGTTCCGCACCACGCAGGTCTTCGTGGGGCACCACATCCCGCCCCACCCGCGCGACGTGGAGAAGCAGATGCGGGAGCTGGTGCAGTGGATGAACTCGGAGGACGCCATGGGGCTGCACCCCGTGGAGTTCGCTGCCCTGGCCCACTACAAGCTGGTTTACATCCACCCCTTCGTGGATGGCAATGGCCGGACCTCGCGGCTGCTGATGAACCTGATCCTGATGCAGGCGGGGTACCCGCCCATCACCATCCGCAAGGAGCAGCGTGCAGAGTACTACCACGTCCTGGAGGTGGCCAACGAGGGCGACGTGAGGCCCTTCATCCGCTTCATCGCCAAGTGCACCGAGACCACCCTGGACATGCTGCTCATCGCCACCACCGAGTACTCCGTGGGCCTGCCTGAGGCGGGGGGAACCACTGCCGGGTGCGAACAGACCATCCCCGTCAAGACTTGACACTCAGGAGCCGGTGAACCCATGGGAGAGCAGAACTCCAAGCCACTCAGTGTTCCTGCTGGGAATAACTGGACAGGAGGTGTCACTCTTTAGCTTTTCCTTTATTTAAAGTGTCTTACATTGGATTAAATTAATATAATTTATTTATATACGTTACGCCGAGATGGAATGTGACCTGTTGATGATGGCTGTGCACTAGAAGTTGCTTGTGCTACTGGAAGGAGATGGGGAGAGGTGGCAGAGAGGCTCAAAAAGATGAACTAGGATTTAATTTCTCCTTAAAGTTAAGCTTTGAGGAGCTGCTTCAATCACAGCCCTTCACCTAGGCAGTTGCTGCAATGTCTGACCTTGGCAAGGAGCTGCTTGGCAAAGTCTAAACTGAGTTATTTTTGTGTTACCTCATCCCTGTTGGTCAAAACCACCCCAAAACACATCCCTGGAGGAACAGCACTCTCCCAGCTGTGTCCATCAGACACTTTCCTGTCAGTCACACAGGTACTGAGCAGGAAGGAGGCTGAACTCCACTTCAAAGCCACCTCTCCCCTCCCATTTCTGTAGCACTTTGCATGTTTACTTTCAGCTGCCTTTCCTGGGGCCAGTTTTGTACAAGTGGGAAGTATTCGGTGTAGGATTCAGGTGGTGGGAGTGAAACAGGAGGAGAAATGCTCTGACTTACTCACTGCATGGGGAAGCACTCCCTGGTGCTCCTAGGCCTCACCTCAGCGAGCAGGAGCCCTGGGAAAGCACAACTGTCCTCAGACATTTCAGTTCAGGGTCTAAAGGAGCTTGTGTCTGCAAAGCTGTGGGCAGAAAAGGTTGTTAGACAGGAGACAGGAGCCGTGCCAGTTTGGTGAGAATGTGTGTAGAAAGTTTGCCAAAGCCTTCAGTTTCTTTAGTCTACATAAGGGAACTTTCACAATTAATCATTAGGTCACATTATTACTGCAATAAATGGGGCAAGAATCACTCGAGGCCTCTCTCTGCTGCAGTACCTCGAAACTGCTGAGCAGTTCAAAGAATCACTTTTATCTTTGTTTTTTTAAGGTAAAAGCACCCCCAGAATAGCTCCCTCCCCCCAGCTGCCAGGTGTGTAACAGCAGCATTGATCCCACCACCTCCAAGTTCAGAGAAATTCCATTTAAAATCCCCGTTTAGGGTGCTGTTAAGCTTAACTCCTTTACAAAAGCTGTTAAGGCTGTCCCAGGCCAGGGTTAATTTTATTCCCTTTTAACTCTCTCTTACCTGCCAGGGACTTAGGACACGTTTTATACAAGCAAAAAGCAGGATGAGACTGGGAGTTCTCTGGTCACTGCTGTCCAGGAAAAGCAGACAATACCTGAGGAAGGGTGTTCTGTCCTTACAAAATGTGCTTATTTTTGTAGTGCAACCCGAGTATGAATAAAATCTGCACTTTAGAGCTCTGGGGGGGTGAAAAATGTTATTTTAGTAACAGATTAATAAACTATTTTAATATTAAAGTCTTT